CAGCCCTCCAGGGTTCAAATCCTGGTGCTTGCATTTATTTCTGGATTTATTTCAGGATTTCCGGCGATGCGCATTCAGTGGGAGGAGACGTTCCCGTCAACGACGAGGTGCCTACGGTGACTTCGTAAATCTTAAGATGATATGCCGGCTCAGTCGTTCGGTGGTGCTCATAGGGGTAGGGTGTGCGTGTGTGCGTTCATAGGGGTGAGTGTATGCGCGTGTATATGAGCGCTTGTGTATGTACTGATGTTAAAAAAAATAAAAAATGCAATAAAAAAATTGAGAATAAAGCGTAAAATGAGAAAAATATAGAACTGAAAGAAAATGGAAAAGAAGAAAAAAAACATACTCAAGTGAGCTAGATGAGTCTAATTCTCGTTTAGATCAGAGATAGCAACGCCCATAAACTAATGCTACACATTGATTTTAAGAATTTATTTATTGGTCTCTACAGGTTGCTGCATAATGATACACGTTAATGATTTTTTTTTGCTTTTCTTTTGTCTTCTTTATCTGGGTTCTATTTTTGTTGTTTCTACACCGCGCCTAACTACGCTTGCATGACTGCCATGATGTGTGCAATAGTGTGTCCACATGTCATCCACTACTGCATTTGCATATTTTCTAAAATAGAAATGCAACAAGTTGAGAATAAAACATAAAATGGGACAAAAAATGGTAAAAGTGAAAACACTGGAAAGGAGGAAAAAAATTATATACTCAAGTGGGCTAGATGAGATTTAATTCTCATTTAGATCGGAGATAGCCACACCCAAAAACTAATGCTACACATTAATTTTAAGGATTTATAGGGCTCTATAGGTTGCAGCATAATGATACACATTAATGTTTTTTTTCATGTTTTTCTTTTCTAATGGATTACTTTATCTGGGTTTTTTTTCACATCACGTGTAGATACACTTGCGCGACTTTCCAGTTGTGCACAAAAGTATGTCCACAGGCCGTCCACAACTGCATTTGCATATATAATTTAAAATAGAAATGCAATAAAAAGTCTAGAATAAAATGTAAAATGAGATAAATATAAATGTGAAAGAAAATGGGAAGAAGGAAAAAATATATATATTCAAGTGAGGTAGATGGGATTTAATTCTCATATAGATCGGAGATAGCCACACCCATAAACTAATGCTACACATTGATTATTAGGATTTATTGGGCTCTATAGGTTGCTGCATAATGATACACATTAATGATTTTTGTTCTTTTTTTTTCTTTTCCACCGAATTATTTTATCTGGGTTCTATATTTTTCTCACGCCGCACATAACAACACTTGCACGACTGCCCGCTGATGTCCACAAGCCGTCTACAACTGCATTTGCATTTTTTAAATAGCTGAAAATAAAACGTAAGATGAGAAAAATATATAAGTGAAAGAAAATGGAAAGAAGGGAAGAAAAATATATTCATGTGAACTAGATGAGATTTAATTCTCATTTAGATTAAAGAAATCCACACCCATAAACTAATGCTACACATTGATTTTAAGGATTTATTGGGCTCTATAGGTTACTGCATGGCGATATACATTAATGATTTTTCGCTTTTCTACTGATATCTGGGTTCTATTTATTGTTTTTCACACCGGGCGTAACTATGCTTGCATGACTGCCCAGCTGTGTGCAAAAATATGTCCACATGCCATCCACTACTACATTTGGAGATTTTCTAAATAAAAATGCAATAAAGAAGTCAAGAACAATGCGTGCAATGAGAAAAGGCAAATTTTAATATGGTCCCTCCTACCTCCTTTTTTTACATGTGAGGTAAGAAGGTAAGAGTCAATCAAGCCATTCATTGATGAGATCAACGGCTAAGATCTATTTTATACTCTTACCTCTCATGTGAAAAGAGGGGGTAAGAGGGACCATATTAAAACTGCTCATGAGAAAAATATAGAACTGAAATAAAATGGAAAAGGAGGAAAGAAAAATATATATTCGAGTGGGCTTGATGAGGTTTAATTCTCATTTAGACGAGAGATAGCCACACCCATAAACTAATGCTACACACTTATTTTAAGGATTTATTGGGCTCTACAGGTTACTGCATAATGATACATACAGATTAAAGTTATTTTTTCTTTTGCTCATTTTGTTCCGAATTAGTTTATTTGGGTTCTATTTAGTTTTACGCCGCATGTAACTATACTTGCATGACTGGCCGGCTGTGCGCAACAGTATGTCCACATGCCAGCCACTACTATATTCGCGTATTTTCTAAAATAGTAATGCAATAAAAAAAATCAAGAATAAAACATAAAATGGGGGAAATATAAAAGTGAAAAAAATGGAAGCAGGAAAGATAAATATGTACTCAGGTGAGCTACTCCCTCCGTTCGGAATTACTTCTCGCAGAAATGGATGTATCTAGACGTATTTTAGTTCTAGATACATCCATATCCGAGACAAATAATTCCGGACGGAGGGAGTAGATTAAGATTAATGCTACACATTTAATTCTCATTGAGATTAGAGATACTAGCCACACCCGAAAACTAATGCTACACATTGATATTAAAGATTCATTGGCTTCTACAGCTTGCTGCATAATGATACGCATTAATTGCTCTAGATATGCTGCATGTACAGTATATTTTCAGTTTGGCTACTACACTCCTTGGCAGGGCCGTTCTATAAAAGCCATCCTTGTGTTCCTTCCCATGCACACAGAGGTTGCAGAGCGCGCATAGTTTTATACAGAGATCGAGCAAACATGAAGAACACACCAATCATCTGCGTCGTCGCGGTATCTCTCGGGGCCATCTCCTTGCTCTCCGGCAGCACCGACGCCACCGCATGCGCCGGCGACCCGTCCATGTCCGTCGCCGACGCGTGCCACAAGACGAGCGCCTGGCAGGGCCAGCGCGAGCTGGAGCTCTGCCGGCAGACGCTGCGCGGCGCACGGGACGGCCTCACGGCCAGCGCCTACGGCGTCATCGCCGTGAGGGCCGCCCTCCAGTCGTCCGAGGCCACCGAGAGCGCCGGCAAGAAGCTGGCGCAGGACCCGAAGATCTCCGAGGACGCGCGGGCGGTGTACCAGAGCTGCGTGGACATGTACGGCTTCGCGCACGCGGACATCGCCGCCATGGAAGGCGCGCTCAAGGCCTGCTCGCTCGCGGACTTCCGGCGCTTCTGGGAGGGCGCCCTCGCCTCGGTGGATCACTGCGCGCGGAAGCTCCAGCTCGTCGACGGCGACGTGCTCCGCCGCACGGTGGAGGCGGACAGGGAGAGGATCTTGCTCGCTTTCATCCTGGGAGGGCTTTCTTTTCAGAAATAGTACTAGTACTAGTATGTTTGGATGTGGAGATATGGATTTTGGGTCGGTAATAATTCGGTGGTAACCTAGTGACATGCGGTGGTATTTGTAGTTGACTGGATTTGACTGAAAGGTGTTTCTTAAAAAAAAACTAGTGGCAAAACCGCAAAATTGATTGAAACATGTCATCTTCTGGAATGCTGTAGCATTGTGTGCCTCTCACATTTATTTTTGATTCGAATCTGCTCGTATATTGAACTGAGCTGAGAATACATGGCGAAGGGTCTCCGTGGTTCTGCTCACCCTGACATGAAGCAAAACGTGAGTCGGCATTTCGTCAAACCAACCATTGATAGGTGAAATTCCGGTCCGACTGAACATCGCTGAGGTGTTCCGAAGAAACTTTGGCAAATTCACGGGGTGAATTCGCACTCTTCGCTCAGGTCTCACGGATCGAGCCGGATTCGATGGTGGAAATTGATGAATCAGTGGTGGTGTAAGGGTGGCTTTGAATACCAAATGTTGGCAACCTTGTGCTTAATTAGTTCGCTCAATCATGTAGCAGCTCTCTATTCAACGGTTGCCTGCTAGAACCAGTAGTAAAATGGACAGTTTGGGGAGCACAGAGCAAGCATACAGGTTTGAGTCATGCCAGGGTTCCAAGTCTCCAAGGCCAGCAACACTTCAAGCATCTTAAACCCCTCCAACTCTCAACATTACAATGCCAAGGATTAAGCTAAACTCCAGATTCCGCAACGGCATACATGTAATAGCTGATGATAACAAGATCCCAGAACAGTCTAAGGCAAGACGCTAATAGCCCTAACATCACCTTCTAAAAGATACTGATCTATCCAAAGTTAAAAGGGCATTAACACTGAGCCATGTAAAAAAAGAAAACCAAAATATGCAAGACATCCATCAGATTTTGCACAGAGTGTGGTTGAACAAGTTGCAAACATGAGTCTCACAGCAGTCCCCAAAATGATCTGTCAGGAAGCTACCACCCTACGCCTCCAAAACAACTCTGATCTGACAATTTAGAGATACCTGAAAAGCGAATTGTAAACATGAGTCTCACCAATCTCTTTGCAATAATGTTGAAAATGGATTAAACACTAGGGGCGTGTGAATAATCCTATGGAGGGAATGGGTGACATGAAATCAACTGCTTTTCCCCCCTTTTCTTCTTGAGCTCCATATAAGTAAAAGTAAACAGAAACATGAGTTCAGACATAAATAACAGCACAAGCACATTCTCATGATCCCATCCACATTGTTTTGGAACAGTTACAAAAATGAGATGCCATATGAACGCTGCAATATGCTATGTTTATTTTCTGTTGCGACAACAAATGAAGCAAGAGGGTTCACCATAATCTTTGGAACAGTTTAGCAAAGATCAGTTGCTGATAACATTTCACCATAATGAATGAAAATGGCTCATCATAACCAAAAATCTGGGCATCTGCTAACCCCAACTACTGTTATCACCGTGTTTTCACACTCTGAACTTTAAATTTGTAATAATAAATCGCTCAGGTGCATTAAAAACTAGTGTTACTCAATAGAATTGGCAGCTGGCAGACATGTGCATCAAATAGTACTTATTTTTCCAAATAACACACTGCTGACATTGCAAGAGAAATGGACTGTGATGGATAATACATGAAAGATAGGTTATGCGAAAGTACCAAGATAGGAATTAGATGGTACACTTCACTTCATCAGCTCTACTTCCACACACAAAGTCTCCTTTTTGACCATGTCAGGCGATGTCTCCCTTTTCACAGCGGTCTTCTTGCTCCAATCTTCAACCATTTAAACAAGAATAAACAGTCAATTACAATGTAAACATTTCTCTGAATAGTATATATGGCTTGAAATGGCAGAACAGGTTACAGTAATTAGATGAATGACACGCATAAGTGTCGAATCAAAACAATAACAAAGAAAATACCATGTCCCCTACGCTGTTTTGATACACGATACGGGTGCAGTGACATGACACTTCCAAAAACAAGGGTACAGCAATCATCGGTCTGAAATGATAATACAAGGCGGTGTAGATCTCTAAGGAGCAGCATTAAAAGGGGTGGACATGCGGAAAGATGCCATCAAGCAGCCAGCAGCAATGGTCGGGGAGCATGTCCACATTGTGCATGAGAGGAAGGCTTGTATACATTATGAAGCATGTTTCAAATATTTAAACATCGACATGATTCAGATACTAAGCAATACATAATGGAATCTTTGGTATAGGATGCAGCAGGTATGACAACTCACTGAAGTATCAGGGAAACCTTTACCTACCAACACAAGTTAATAGGCTGATATTTTCTCCATATTTTTATCGAAAAGGAAGTTAAACCCCCTGGCCTCTGCATCATTGGATGTACACAGCCGAGAAAAATAAGAAATGTAACACAAATAGACAGTCACAAGTGGCATGAGCTGTGCCTGCCACTAGGATGATCTTGGCCCATTCTGATGGGGTTTAAAAGGCAGCTAAATAAGAAGGTACAAATGAACAGACTAGAACAGAGTCAGCCTTTCTATTAACTTGGCTGCACTTCTCCCTTCTTACTATTTATTTTTTTACGGCAATGTCCCTATCTATTTAGCAATGGTGGACTACAATAGAAAGGCAACAATTACTATTGTTCCTTCAATTCAGCCAATTTACAACAAAATTATACTCCATCCGTCCCAAAATAAGTGTCTCAACTTCTCAACTTTGTACTAACCTTAGTACAAAGTTGTACTAAGGTTAAGACACTTATTTTGGGAAGGAGGGAGTAGTACAATTTATATACAGAGGACCCTACATAAGCTTCCAAGCACACAATTTCAGAAGATGTGTTAAAACAAAAAATGTGCCCACAATCTGACAATTGTATAGTATACTCTATTCTTCCTTGCTTGGATGCACTTCCCCTCTTATATCTAGTTGTAGTTGACCACAATAGAAAGGGAGCACTACACAGTTCCTCAAAAACATTTCAATTTACTCCCAAATTCTAGCACACTTTGTATACTCAAAGCAGAGGACTGCAAGCACATAATTTCAGAAGATACGGTGAAAGGCGCCTAATTTAACAATTGCAGAGTATACTCATCTTCACCACTTCCATATATAGGTCAATCAAACAACTAATCAAGGAGATGAGAGTGTTAGTATACCTGCAAAGGGAATCTGGCTTGATTCCAGCCATGTCGGGAGCACACATGGTAGGATGGGGACACTGGGTATAGCTAGACGAGAGCTCCCTGTTATCTTCTCCTTCTCCATGTCCACGCCAAGAAGCTGGTTGCCGCACACAAGGTACACAACATGGCTGTTCAGTGGGTCAATTGCGCCAATCGCCGGCATCTCCTTCAAGGGTTCATCATCCCAAACTGTGGTAAACGCCACCTCGTGGTCCAGCGTCCAGGAGCTGCCACCGTCGTCGAGGGAGAAGGAGCTGACCACGTAGGGCTTCTCTTTGGACACCTCGATGTAGCGCAGCTTCCCCTCGCTCTCCCCCATGCGCCGGTAGCGCGCGAGTTTCCTCATGAACACCACGCCTTCGAGGTCAGGTAGCACGCTCCCTCTGGGCAGCTCCACGAACCGGAGCTCCGGCCTCTCGCTGAGCGGGTCCGCCGAGATGGCGCCCCAGCTCTCGTCGATCCACCACAAGCGGTCGCCGAAGGGCACCACGGCGCTGTCGATGTGCATCCGCCGACCGGCCGGCAATGGGGAGGGCAAGCCCGCCATTTTTTCCCACTTCCCCGTCTCCGAGAGAAACCGCCGAAAGACGAAGCCCTCCTCCTCCCTGCCGCTGCCGCCGATGGTAAACATCTCGGCTACCGCATACCTGTCAGGGGGTCCGTGCCCGCCCTGGGACTGGGTGAGGAGGCCGAGGTGCTGGTACATGGAGGTCCTCTTGGTGCCGTCGAGGTCCGGGAGGCGGTAGAGCTCGCCGCTGAGCGGGTTGAGGACGAAGCGCGTGACCTCCGGGTTGATGTCCATGCCGGTGAAGAAGGACATGTCGCGGATCGCGGAGAGCAACGACTCGCCGGTGGCGGGGACGTCGAACTGGAAGCGGGACTCCCAGAAGCGCACGAGGAGGAGGCCGTGGCTGCTGGTGGCGGCGACGTGGCCCGGGACGGAGCCGTACACGCCGGTGGCGGGGTCGGGGAGGGGCCGCGGGTGGATGAAGTGGGCGGGGACGGTGAGGTTGGTGACGAACGGGGGCGCGTCGAGGTGCAGGGTCGCGCCCGGCGCCGGCGCGCCTGACTTGTCGACGTTGGTGAGCTGGATGAGGGCCCACGGGGGCCGCGAGGCGGCCGAGGACGAGGAGAGGGAGCGGCGGAGTCCGCCCGCGGCGGCGCCGGAGAGGCGGCGGAGCATTCTGCGTGTGGCGAGGAGGATTTTGCTGCGGCTTTTGGTTCACGGGAGGACTGCTGTGCACTGGTTCCAGCGAGGGGAATGCCCTGTGGCGTGTGGGCTGGTGGTGTTCTCCTGTCCTACTTTTGAGTTTTGACCCGGCTGTCTGCTCCAATTCGCCGCCCCCTCTGCTTCTGCAGCAGCTTGAGTGATAAACGTCCACTCCTTTTGATTTATCAAGGGTGTGTTTGGTTGGGGAATCAACTGTCATGGAATGGAATGGTTCCATTCCAGAAGAACGGGTCCATTTTATTCCTGTATTTGGTAAGAGCAAAAGAGAGGAACGGGTTGGTTCCGTTTCGGTGTTTGATTGGAAGCACGGAATAGAAAATGGAATGACATAAATTTCTAAATTTCCGCAGCATATCATTTGTATTTTCAAGAAAGACAACATAACAGTATATATTGACAAGTTAACATATAAATGACAACACATAAAACACAGATTTCAACATGGTGCACATAGTTAAACACATTTGACAGTCATACATGTGTAGTTCACATAAGAAGCTCTCCAAAAGCAAGGAAAGTGCAATAGAGCCATACATGTCCAAGTCATACTTGACAGCCACACACGTCTAGTTCATGTACGAAGCATCGGCTCCCCTAACCATCCTTTTTCTTTTGTTCATCTTCTTGACCATCTACAATTGATGCATGCTATCAAAATTATTATACATCACCACGTATTGCAAAGATGTACTGGACAACAGCAAATTGAACAAAAATATGTACTACACAACAACAATTTGAGCAAAAAAATTATATTGGAGATCAGCATATACAAGGGGAGAGGAAGATGAGTTTGTACCTTCAACAGAGATGGCTGTGCTTCGCTCTGTCGCTGCGCCGGTGTAGCACCTAGACCCTGCCTTCTTCCCCTTCTAACATGCAGATCGAGTGAGGGGGTGAGAAAATGGATCGAGGGAGAGCGAGGGAGATGAGACAACGGCGCACGAATGCGAGGGACATGGTCGGCGTCGCGGAATAGCTGCAGAGGGGCGGCGACGCAGAGAGGGAGAGGACCGGCGCCACAGAGAGGGAGAGGGCCGGCGCGCAGAGAGGGAGAGGGAGAGGGACAGCGGCGCGCGAGAGCTGGAGAGGGGCGTCGGAGCAGAGAGGGAGATGGCCGGCGGCGCAGAGAGGGAGAGGGACGGCGGCGCAGAGGAGAGGGAGGGAGGAAGAGGGGCGGCAGCGCACCTGTGCGTGGAGGGAAGGAGGAGAGCAGCGATAGGGTTGGGGCGGCGGCGCAGAGGAGAGGGAGGGAGGAAGAGCCGTTCCGCGTGGTTTCCTCGATTTGGAGGTCTTGGTGCATTCCGGATATGAGGCGACAGCGGGGATGACTTGGTTCTGCTTCGGTTGGCCTACCGAACGCTGGAATGAGGCCCAGGAACGGGTCCGACCCATGACATTCCGGCCCATGACTGGAACCAAACACACCCCAAGATGTAAGATGTTTTCTGACACTATGATAATGTGGAAAACCGTCTTATATTTGATTTGATAGCGAAGGAGTATAATATAAGCACATGAGGAAATGTTGGGAGTAAAGATTTTGTGGGAGGTGTTAAAAATGATTTTGTGGGAGGATGTCTTTTGATTTACACACATGAGAGGAAATATCTTCAAAGTAGAAATATTTTGTTTTCATACACATTTGCCTAGCTATAGGTGAAAACCTATGTTCCTCAATAATCATGGATTACAATTACGATGACAAAGTAGGACGACATCATCAGAACGATACAAGTTAAATGGTCTCTCACAAGGTAATGAATCTTAGAAAGCGTGAAGGTGTAGCATGAGCGATCATCGTGGTTCCTTGACACCACTATGGCACTGCCACATCCTTGCAACAATTCGATTTGATGGTTGTAGAATTCGTGGCTTTCATAATGAGTGTTGACCTGGCCTTCATCAAGTTTTTGTCATTTCTCGGTTATTTCTAACCCTAATCCTTCGAGAGAGAGAAAAACTTGTTTTTAATTGTTTGGAAGGAAAAAACACATATGGAAGGGAATCAAGGTGCATTACTCCAAACTGAGCCAAATGGAACAAATTCCATGTAGGTGATTCATCATCAGGCCCACCAGAGCTCAAGAAGGCCAACCATACTTCCACTCGTATAGGCAGTCGTATGAGGATCTAGTGGCACCCCCTCAATTACAGGAGCAACTCCCTTTTGAACACAATACAATCAAAGTCACTCACATACACGAGCATACACTTATTTCTACGAACGCACGCACGCACACCCTACCCTATGAGCAACTCTGAGAGACTGATCTGGCATAACATCTTGAGATTTTATGAAGTCACCGCAAGCACCTCGCAGTTGACGGGAACGTCTCCTCCCCGGAAGTCCGAAATAAATCTAGGAATTCGTAAAGAGCATCACATCACCAGAGAGACCTAGCCGCCGCTAATGCATCCAGAGAGAGAAGAGATCCAGAGAAGAACCACCGGTAATCCTTCTAGTTTTGTTCATCACCTCCATACTCATTTTTATTTCATCACTGCCATTGTAAGAGGAATTCCAAGTTGTAAGATTAGTGTATATAACTCTATTCATACTCATCTAGAGATTGAGACTTGTTTAATCATTCATCTTATTATTGATCTTTACGGTATTATTGATATGATTTTCATGGATTTATTCTCTATGATGATTGGTTATTCTCTTCCGATGTGTGAGCTATTCCCCAGGGCATGGGAGATGCATGTAGGTGAATGGTAAGATTCATTTGTGCCTATCTTATATGTTGTCATTCGTATTTGTAGTCTTATTATTTGTCTAGTAAGTTGCTATACTATGATGAACGCTATGCGTATTGTCCAATTTAAGGGCCCAGACAACATGATCTAAAGATCTAAACATGTAACACATATTGTTTAGAGAGTCTGCGCCCTCCAACGCGACAGGTGTAGACATTTATGAGGACCGAAGACAATATGAGATAACGGTTATCTACTGAATGTAATGCATGGTTCCAGTTTAACTACCTTAATTATGGAGATGACCACGTTGTGGCAACGTCAAAGCAGGACCATAGTATGGAATACAATCCCACGAGGAGGAGTTCCATAAATCTAGGGTTATCCGCCTGTAGAACAGCCAAATGAAATATTAAACTCACGATGCAAGGTAACTGGGATTACCACTGAAGTGACACACTTGAGGTATACCATGATCTGAAATCTCTCTGCACCTAATTTCTCAACTGCAAAAAAACATTTTTATTTCGAGTCTTTAGTTTACACTCTTTGCTTCCAAGTCGTTATTATTTTTGTTGTAACCATCTCATCATATTCACTACTCTGGTTTATTAGACTCTTGGAACACTAATAGCTTCTACAGAATCATAAGGAGTTACTTCACGTAAGAGCTATGACAAGTTGTGTGTGACAGAAATGTTGCTCATAAGTACTCTCCTCCACTCTTAGCCGGGACGATAACTATTTTAGGTTACTTACACGGAAGTTCTACACCACCATGTGTGGCTTACAGGTCATCAAGTATTTTTCTTGCACTGTTGCTAGGCAGTGAAGTGCAAAGTATTTGTTTCATAACTGTTCTAAGGTGTTGTTATTGTAGATACTTCCTATTACCGACATGGGTTCTACTCCTTCTAGGAAGACTTATTTGCCAGCTTATATTCAACATTTTCCACTAGAGCTTCAGGATTCATTATTAGAAAAATACCAAAATATCAAACTACTAAGATGCTTATTGTGGTGCATATTGTGCTGCAGCTAGTGGTGCTTCTTGTGGTGCATATTGTGCTGCAGCTGGTGGTGCTTCCTGTGGTGCGGCTGCTTGTTGTCCTGCAGCTCTACCAAGTTCTGGGCACTTCCTTTTGGTGTGGCCAGGCTCATTGCACACACTACAGTGGCCAATTATGCCATGCTTGCTAAGCCTTGTGCCACCTTCCTCCTCTAGTGGACTTTTCCTTCTCTTTTTACTAGGCCTACCAACTTGTTTGTTAAATTTAGGTGGCCTCATTTCAGGACCATTCATTTTCTTCCACATTTTGGGATCACTACATGGCATTATGGCCCCACCATAAGCTGCTCTGAATGCATCTAAGCTGTAGCACTTGTGGACTGCTGATTCTGGCTTTATCCTTTCATGCCTAAAAGCTGCACAAGCATGTCTACAGGGGATTCCTGATAGCTGCCAGGCCCTACATGTGCACTCCATTTTGTCTATGCGCACCTTATATTCACCATGCAAACCATTTACTTTGAAAAGATTTTCCGCAGATGGAAGAGCTTCATAATTGGTTGCAAAGTCAATGTTTTTGGTCAGCTTTTTCCTAATTTTGGGACAAATGTTGCCACACATTTCTTCTAGTTCCTTCCTCTTGCTAAAATACCTATAGTTTAAAAAACCGGACCAGACTGGCGGTCAGACCGGAAAAAACCGGAACCAGAGATCACATCGGGTTTTTAAGCTCAGCAGACCGTTCGTGCAATCGGACCGGAAAAAACCGGATGAACCGGTCGGTTTTGGGAAAACCGACGAACCAGGCGGTTTACAAAGAACCGTCCGGTTTGATGTTGATTCCAGAAAAGCCCCTGGATCGACTTATTTTTATGCAGAGAAGGTGGGGGTAGAAAGGAAAAGGGAAAATATCCCTCTTTTGCTAGGGTTTCGACTGAATCTGGAGGGGCATTCCTCGAATTTGAGTCGCCACCTCTCTCTCTGGCGTCTGGCTGGCGCTGCCGCCCCCATCTGCCACTGCCCTTGCCTGGCGCCGTGGCGCGTCGACGCCGCCTCTCCCTCTCGGCCTCCTCATTGCGGCAGCAACAGGGCAGTAGCACGAGCCCGCGCTGCCACCCGTCGTCCCACGCCACGCCGCCGCCACGCCCCGACGACCAACTCTGGTATGAACAGAGCAATCCCCTCTCTTCTCTGTCGGTCTTTCCCCAATCTCCATCCTTCTATTGTTTATTTCTAGGAT